GTCTTCCCTTCCACGCTGCTGCCTGTTGCTGTGCTGATGGTTGGCTTCACCTAGAGCTTGGCCAGCTGAGGAGCGCGTGTGAGCGCTGCCTGGTCAGCATCGAGAAAAAGGGATGAGCTTAATTTATCTTCACCAGTTGTTCCCTTCGACCAAGTGGATTCTGATTGTGGAGTGAGTGCTCACATGGACACTTCTACCAGCGCTGTGGGGAGCGGTGACCTCCAGCAGGTGGGGTGGTGACAAGTGGTTTTTGATGGAAATCCTTCAAAAGAGGGGTGTTGATTTCCAGCCTTAGGGACAGTATAGACCAGTGAAAAGAGCACTGTGCCGTGAAAGGAGAAGCCACAGTTTGTTCCTGGCACTCCTCTTTGTGTGATGTGATCAGGTCAAATCACTCCTCATCCGTGCATCTGTTTCCCCTTCATCTGTCTCGTCCATTTAAACTCCTTGGAAAAGGGAGTTCTTATGTGGACAAAGGCAAAATAATAATATTTTTATCCTGCTAGTCTTACAGAGTTGATTGAAGTTGTTGTTTTCTAAATGGCCTTTAGATCTGAGTATTGTTTGGATTTTTTTTTTTTTTCTTCCCAGCTCTTTGCTTTTCCATTGCAGAGCTGGCCCCACACTGATGTCTTTGATTATATTTTCATTGCCATTGTACTTGCTTTGATTTTTGCAGCTCGGTGCCCAAAGCAGATGTTTTCGTTGCCATTGTACTTTGATTTTTGCAGCTCGGTGCCCAAAGCACAGGGCACCGTACAAACAAGGCGGTGAAGTCAAGCAGGGTTCAGCCCCTTTTCTCTTTTTACCTTGAAAACAATGTGAAACTCCTGGGTTTCTTTTCCTTGGCACCTCCAGCTCTGGAGCTCGAGGCTGTGTGTGTTTGTGTGCCGCCCTCCCGTCGGGTTCAGGTGCGAGATCACTTGGAGAGTGTTTTCCATTGCTGTGCCGTCTGCTCGGTCGTGTGTGAGACCAAGCTGTGAAGTGTGGAAAATTAATGCAAGAACAGCAGCCTCCTGAGCTGATGGCCGTGGCCTACAGTGGGGTAGTTGTGACTCGGTGCCATTCCCGGGGCTCACATAGACTTGTCTTGCTGGATTATGCCTGGCCGCTGTCTGCGACAGGGAATTTTCTCCTGTTTCTCACCTCTCCTTTTTGCTTTTGGCAGCATTCCTTGCTCCGTGGGGAGATGTGGTCTGAGGGTGGCCCGTGGCCAACCCTTTTAAGAAGTGCCAGGTTACTGGTTGTTGATCTGAGAAAGGGAGAAGGAGCTGGATGGCTTGATTCTGCACTACCATAGTATTGTCAGCCCTCAGCAGGAATACAGCAGCCTCCAGAAACACCTGTAAAAAAAAAAAAAAAAATGGACCTTGGTACTTTTGTACTTGAGGCTCATCCCCATCGTGTTCCTGCTGTCACTCTGAGAAGCCCCCCTTATGGCACATTTGGGTACCAGGACAGACCGAAGCTTTACCTTGATGCATCAGAACTGCACAAACTGCAGTTTGCCCTAAGCCATGGTGATTTATTTGAGGATCTGAACACACTAAACTCAAGGAGTGTTTAGGATTAGGGAAACCCCTACTTAAAAAAAAAAAAAAAAAAAAAAAAAAAATTCGGGAAACCTCTTCATCAGCAGCATGATGAGATTTTTTTGGTTTTGCATACTTGATTTCAGTTCTCACCTGCTACATAGCTGTATTCACTCAGAGTTTCCAGGTGGCAGTGCTGGCTTGGTTGTATGTTGCTTTGTGTCGTTTGTTGAGGGGTTCAGAGACCTTGATGGGTGAGATGTGCTGGTGGCTTGTGCAGGAGTCGTCCCGGGAAGAGACCCTCTGTGTTCTTCAGTGGAAACCTCTTTCAGCAGACTTTTCTGCTACAGTGGAAATCAAACTCTTTAACAGCAGAAAAAGCCAGAACGCAGCTTAAGACTAACAAAATGAAAATTAAAAAATGTTGAAAACGTTTTGGCAGTGTCTGTCATCTCCGATGCTGTCAGCTGCCCCAATTCTGCTGTCCCTGACAGGAAGGGAAGTTTTGTCACTAACAGCAGTGGGTGTAAAATTTGTCCAAAGGGAATCCTTTTGTGAATCCTGCATTGATTTTTATTTTATTTTTTTTCCCCTCAACAAAAATAGCTTCGTATGGTCATCCAGGAGTAACTCAGGGCATATTTCAAAGGGGAAAGTTTGAATATTTGGCTATCTCTTCTAGATTGGGGCACACACCAGCCATAGCCTGCATCCCTGTTTCTGTGTTTGGTGATGTGCCAGGTTAGAGCCTTTGCCGTAGCGACTCTCGGCACCAGAGGAGTTTCTTTCAGTGGCTTTTTTATGCCATTTACTGTTTCCTCCCCCTTTCAACCTCTCTTTTAGTCTTTGTGATGAGTAACGAGTTCTCTTCTTTGGGCAGCTTTTGGTGGCTGGGACCCTGGCTATTTACTGTTTCCTCCCCCTCTCAACCTCGCTCCTAGTCTTTGTGATGAGTAACGAGTTCTCTTCTTTGGGCAGCTTTTGGTGGCTGGGACCCTGGCCAGCTTCAGCCTTTTGCCAACGCGCAAGGACAGGGCAGGTTGGGAAAGCAAACAAACTGTAGTTGATGCCAGCTTCTTGTGTCGCAGCAAAACCAGGGCTTGACCTTGCCACTGGAATATTAACTCACTCTTGGTGCATACCCTGGACAACTTTATAGGAAACTTTCTTCCCGGTACTAACAATAAGCCTTTCAAACGTGTGTCCTTTCACTGATCCCCTTCTGCTTGTTGGAGATGGAGAAACAACCAGACTGTCCTGGACAGAAAACTCAAATTTGTTTTAACTCGTGTTCTCCTAGGACTATTCTAGTTTTATTGAAAAACTACCCTGGATCTTTTAGGCTCATTGTGTGGGATATTAGCGGGTCTTGAAAGAATTCTTGAGGCTTGTAAAAACAGCATAGTATCTGAGCTCTGTGAGTGCTTTCTGAGATCACTCCCAGGCAAGGTCTCTGGTACTCTGTGAGAGTTTTTACCTCTGAACATCACCTTCTGTTTTCTCCATGTCACGTTTATGTCGCACCTGCACCGTCATGAGGACATCTAACTTCTGATGCATATTGGGTGACAGGCTGGTTGTGCTAGGCCCTTTGAGGTTCTGGTCTTGCATTGCATGTTGAAGGAATGGTGACTCCACTCTCCTCAGAGCTTGAATAAAACACACATAAGGGTTTGTTCAGTCATTAAGCAGAGGCATGAAACTTTGATAGTTGGTTTCCTCAAGTTAATTTTCATAGAATGGTTTGGGTTGGAACGGACCTTTTGTTGAAGGAATGGTGACTCCACTCAGAGCTTGAATAAAACACACACGAGGGTTTGTTCAGTCATGCAGCAGAGGCATGAAAATTTGATAGTTGGTTTCCTCAAGCTAATTTTCATAGAATGGTTTCAGTTGGAATGGACCTTAAAGACCATCTAGTTCCAACCCCCTGCCATGGGCAGGGGCACCTCCCACCAGACCAGGTTGCTCCAAGCCCCATCCAGCCTGGCCTTGAACCCCTCCAGGGATGGGGCAGCCACAGCTTCTCTGGGCAACCTGTTCCAGGGTCTCACCACCCTCACAGGAAAGAATTTCTTCCTGAGATCTCATCTAAATCTCCCTTCTTTCAGTTTAAAACCATTATTCCTCATTCCATTGCTTCATTCCCTGCTTAAGAGTCCCTCCCCATCTCTCCTGTAGCCCCTTTAGGGACTGGAAGGGGCTCTAAGGTCTCCTGGAGCCTTCTCCAGGCTGAACAACCCCAACTCTCTCAGGTTGTTTTCACACAAGAAATGCTCCAGCCCTCTGAGCATCTTTGTGGCCCTAAAGTTAAAAAGTTGATTTTGAAACTGTTGAATACAGAGAAGTATGAAGAAGGCAGTGGAGAGAGAGGCTGAGTTGCCCTCTGGAAGAAGCCTCTCTCCAGTCAGTATGGAAGAAGCTTAGGGTGACTAGTTCAGCCTGATAAATGACATGATTAAAGTTGAGTGGTGTCAATACTTGCCTTATAAATCAAACTGCAAAAGACATCTCACTAAAGCTAGGCTGCTATTAATGTTATTGAGTGAAACGATAAAGCTGCACAGCCATCTATCAAGTCAATGTCAAATTGAACCATTTAGACTGAATATTGGACTGGAGTTAAATAGTCACATTTAGTAGCCATCAATGCATGCAAAAAAATAAATCCCCCTCTGTGAATTCAGCCTCTGTGGCTGGCTGTCTAGCAGTGTACCCTAACCAAGGAATTTATCCCAAGACAATATGATGTGTCTACTACCTGCCCTTCCTTCTAAGCGCTGTGGGCAGTCACCTTTCGTGGCTGTTGTTACCCCAAGCTCCCAGCCCAGGCTCTGTATCAGACAACGTGCATGCAAAAAATAACCCCCCCTCTGTGAATTCAGCCTCTGTGTCTAGCAGTGTACCCTAACCAGGGAATTTGTCCCAAGACAACATGATGTGTCTGCTACCTGCCCTTCCTTCTGAGGGCTGTGGGCAGTCACGTTTCGTGGCTGTTGTTACCCCGAGCTCCCAGCCCAGGCTCTGTATCAGACAACCCTAATTTTTCCATCAGGGATAGCTGCATAAAATGTATATTCGCTTCCCTTTTTCTGCATTTTGCAAACCAATATACTAAATTAAGCTGGACGGGGCAGTGATTTACAGTAGTAAACAGACTGTAGGTTGTAGGGAGGTATATTTGTGCCATTCAGCTCTGCTTGGGGTGGGGGGAATCTCGAGCAGAAAGGCAGGAAAACGGATGTGGTTTCAGCCTTCCCTAGAGACAACTGTAAATACCAGTTCTCACACAGGGGATGCGAGGATGTGGGTCTGCTCAGCTTGCTGTTTATTCTATGCTTCCTGCACGGTCAGCAGAGGGAATTGCTCCCTCTAAAAGAAACGTTATTTGTGTGAATGGCTGATTGCTTTCAGCACGGCCCCTACTAATGCACTGATGGCATTTTCTTCCTCTTTGACTTTTTTTAGGTATGAATTGTTACGTAGCAGCTGCACGTGAAGAGAAGACGGAGTGGAAGTCACTGTCAGAGCATCCCGTCCTTCGAAGCTGGGCCTGAAGACTTCAGCCCCCTGACTGGTGTGAGTACCCTGAAGGGGAGGGGAAGGGGCACGTCGCTGAGAGGAGACCTCAGCATGACTTAGGGCACCAAAATTACATCTATCTTTATCACTTGCAGTAAAGGAGTTTTCATTCCTAGTAGCAGCCTGCCTGGGTTGTTGAGCAGAAAGCTACGTGTTGGTGAGAGCTCCAGCTCTCAGAAGAGGATCAAGCTCCAAGTGCCACTTTTGTGGTGAATCATAGATGCATTAGATAACACACAGCAGTCCCAGCAAGGATTAAATTCACCTTTGCCACCATCAGATATGTTCCTGGTTTATTATCTGTGTTTGTGACGTCCTTTTCTGTTTATTTTGATGCAGTTGGCCTTGAATAGGCAACAAATCCAGGTTTCGTATTGGTGTTTGCCTGCCTGTGAGCTGGATTCATTGCCTCATCTCTAAGAGGCTTTTGGGCTAGGTTGGAGTGGGTGTTGGGATGTGTGACTTGGTGTAGGTTTAGAGCAGACAAGAACTGTTGGACTGGGATCAGGCTTTTGGGGGTATTATGGAGCTGATGACATAAGATCAAGAGGTCAGATCCCCAAAAGGCTACTGGGCTGGTTTTAGGGTAGCCACAGATGTGACAGCTACAAATACTGGTGAAACTGATTTGTTTTCTTTAGAGGTGATGGTGTGGGGTCTTTGTTACCCCACTTTTAGTCTAAGATTAAGTCCTGGGTTGAAAGAGACTTCACAGTTCTGAGATAAGGGTTGATATTCTTGCTTGCCTGGTGCAAAAGCACCTTAGCCTTTGAGAGCTCTGCAGTGAAGCAGAAGTCTTGGACACGATCAAGGCTGAGGTTCATGTGTCAAGCTCTTGAGAGCATTTTTTCCCCTTGGGATGACTCCGATGTGGAGCCTGTCAGTGATCAGGAAGGCAAAGGTCAAAGCAGCAGCTACAGAAGACTGAATCTCTGGCATCCCAGTGGCAAATACAGCTTTTTTGTGAGGCTACTTCTTTCTTTGTTTCTAAAAAGAATGAACACATTGGGGAGCAGTCTCTCCTGTCTCTCTAAGGGTGCTTTAGTGGTCTGAAATTTCAACTCCATATGATCATCTCAACTCCTTTCCTATATAACACCGTACCAGGCTGTTGGAGAGGAAGCTGGAGAAACTTTTGGGATGTATCAAGCCAAGTTTTATGTCATTCTCCTCCTGCTGCATTATAAGCAAAAATCACATGGACCTTGTTGTTTAACTGGCACAATTAGTTGGTCTCTTCTAGTGATGGGCTGGCTTACACCAGGCCTGAATAGGACCCTGTGCTTTGGCTGCAAAAGGGAGGGAAGCTCCCTCACCACAGCTTGGCTGCCTTAGAGGGAAGGGAAGGCAGTCCTTGGTTCTCCAGCCAGAAAGATGCTGTCGGGCATTGATCTGGAAAAAGAGCATCTCCAAGAAGCCTGAGTTCTCAGAGACATGCCTGGGAGTCACAGTGCTTCATGCTTGCACTGTGACTGACCTGTGTCATCAGCCGAGTGATTCCTTCTTCCCTTATCCCTGAAGCCCACTAAACCCTCCTGGCTGTCAAGTGACATCAAGGCATGGCACATCTGTGCTTCAGGGAGTGCATAGCATCAAGTGTGAGGGCCTGGATAGCCCATGTAGGAGTTTGGAGGAGAAAGGCTTACTCTTTAGCCCCCTTTCCAGGGTTGGTGGAGCTCTAAATGGCTCTTTTTACAGTATCTTTACCTTTAGTCCAGGCATGTGACACTTGGCAGAGACAAAACGGTTCCAGCCTGACCAGGTGGACCAAAGGCACGGGGCAGTTTGGGGAAATACCCAGCCAGTGTAGCAGGGAACAAAGTGAGTCTGTGAAAACACAGTGGGGAAAGCTTGACTTTATCTTTTGCTTTCGTAGGTGGAGGAGGCAAAGTGCGGAAAACGCTACCCAGTGGGTCCAAGGTTCTCTTAACTGTTTCTCCCATGAAACTGCCCTTAGTGCATGCAAAGAACTGTCGCAGAGGTTGCTGAAGAATCACTGTTCTCACTGATGGCCAGATTTCCCAGGGCCCACGGGTCAATGGCTAGTGCCCTATTCAGGTCCTGAGTGCATTGCTCCAACTGAATGTGAAGGTTATTCAGACAGGAAGGAGTTCTCCTTTCACTGCTTCCCACGGGGACAGAGCAGGATGTCTCCTAGAAGGCGGCATTGCCCATAACATCATTTTGACTCCAGACAACTGGTCACACCAGCTCAGCACCAGTTCTGCCCATCTTAGAGTATGGAAGAGGTTTATGGTGCAGTGCTGTGCCAGAAACCAGAGCAGTAACAGTGAGAGTGAGTTTATAGAAAGCAGGAAGATGGGAGTTTTCATTTTTTCCACTGAACTTTTGGGAACAGATGGAGAGTCGATGAGGCAGAGATGCTGGAAGGGACAGTGTGTTTCAAATGTTTTCCTTAATGTCTTCGCAATCTGCTCATAGATTCGTAGCTCCTGCCTGTTTGGTGCAGGGCAGTTAGTATAGGATGTGAAAACTTCAACGCCCCCGGGGGCTCCAGAGGTGGATGTTCCCTAAGGCTCGTTGAGCTGTGTTTTCAGGGCTAAGGAACTTCTGACACAAAGGGTCGTGGGAGCAGCTGATGGCCTGATGGGCAGCATCTCTGTTTACTTCATTCCAAGTCACCACAGTGAAGGGTCTGGACTTTCTGGATAGAGACAATGACCCAGGAGCGTCTTGACTGAGCCCTGTACTGACGCTAATAGGCCAGTTCTGCCTCTCTAAATGGCCAATTTGTTGTTTTTTTTTTTAAATCTGGTTAGAAGCCAAGAAGAATCTAATCAGAGCCCAGCAGTGCACTGAGCAGCAGTCATTAGTATTACTTAGTCATCCAGTTGCTGTTTCTTTGCTCTGACAAGAAATGTTGGTGTGATAGGAGGGGATGGGGGAAGATCAGCTTTTGTCTTCGTCTCCTTGAAGAGGTTTCAAGCACGACTCCTTTCAGTACACCTATACCCAAGTGTTGCCCTTGGAGGACAGATTTAAAATCAGTGAGACCTTGCAAACTCTGGCAGCCACAGTTTGAGGGAGAGGAAGCAATGAGAAGAGGGAACTTAAATCCTCATTGACTCTCAAAGGCAATGACTTTCAGCTGTGAACTGTGAGCTGTGATTGCTCTCTCATTAGCTTTCGTAGTTACAGATGTCAGTGGTTAATTCCGGCCAGCTGGCCAAGTTAGAGGCAAATCCAAATTTCTCCTTGGCCTGGTGTTTCAGGCTAGATCTCTACTTATTAATGACACAAACAGCAAGTACATCGGGCAGAACTACTGGGACTTAATTTCCATGAATGCCCAGACTTGTCTACTGGAAGACATGTTGCTTCTTTTGGCTCTGTAGTGCTATTCCTGGAGAACAGAGGATCAGCTGTGGGTAGCCTAATTTGATATTCACTTGTCTATACCAATTAGGGTGCAGGGAAAAGCATTGCAGGAAAATACTAAGATGGAGAGAGAGCACAGTCTGAATTTTTTTTTTTGCTAGTTCTGATAGTTACCTTCTTTACTGCACTCCTACCTCTCCTTTTTGACCCTTTACAACCTACCAAATCACTGTCATTGGAAGAGGTGGTAAACTCAGGTGCTGGTAAGGGGTAAAGAGGCAGGGATTAGCATAATCCTGGGATTATGCTAAATATCTGTGTATTTGATACTTCCCTCCTTTACTGCACTCCTACCTCTCCTTTTTGACCCTTTACAACCTACCAAATCACTGTCATTGGAAGAGGTGGTAAACTCAGGTGCTGGTAAGGGGTAAAGAGGCAGGGATTAGCATAATCCTGGGATTATGCTAAATATCTGTGTATTTCGAGTCTGAAGAGAAATGAGAGAATTTTACAAAAATCCACTTCCTTGCCTGTCATATAGGAGACGATTTTGTCCTGGCTGTACCCTGAGGTTAATTGAAGCTCTACAGCACAAAGGTTAAGAAGAGCACTGTATGTCATATAGGAGACAATTTTGTCCTGACTGTACCTTGAGGTTATTTTAAACTCTACAGCACAAAGGTTAAGAAGAGCACTGGTAAACAGCTAGTGCTATTACCTAAAGCTTTTAATATTGATTGGGCTGTATTCTGTTACCTTCCCAGCCAGTGGTGCCTTTCAGTGAGTGAGGTGCTGGTTGGATTAGCAAAGATGGCTCTGACCTAAACTCATTTTATGATCTGAAGTGTCATTGGTGCTCTTCTGTAGTAGAGGAACAGAGCCTGGGTTCTCCTGCCACACACCATCCAGGGATCACTGGGCATAATCCTTGTGTCCCACCCCCCAGTTTGGCACACATGCCACAAATCACAGCAAGCAAGTTCTGCTTCCATTTTTCCTGAGTGTGAATGGCAGTACAGGGTGCAAAGGGCTGGAGATGCTTATATCCAGGTGAGGATGCACGTTTTGTTGATTGTGTGCCATAAGAGCCATTAATTTCCTTAGGACTTGGGTAAGCATAGCTGAGCCCTAAGTTCTTCCCCTGCAGTGTTTTATTTAGGAGGTCCTGTATTCCACAAAATTGCTTGGACCGGGGTCAGCAACTGTTGAAGGCAGATGGACAAGGTTATATTTTCTTTTATGCTTGAGGGTTTAAATAGGTCAGGAGATCAGGGGGAGCCAGAAGAAACTGCTGCTCAGGTGGCTGCTAAAGAGCTGGTCGCTCCCAGTGTGTGTTGGTCTGAGGCAGTGCTTTCCAGCTCCTGCCGAGTTCTCCAGGCAGTAGAAGACAGCAGCAGGAGCCATGCCTCTCACAGAAGTCTCCCTTAAAATGCTGTAGATCCTGAACCCTGGTAAACTGTGGTCCTACCAGGTAGTCATTTTTTTTCCTGTTTTAAATGAGGAACCACCAACTTACAGCATATCCCTTTTCTCCAGCACCCGGGAGGGACACCAGGACAGTTCTTCAGTCTTCAGCAAGGAAGCCAAATTGTGCATGTGCTTTTTCTCAGCCATTTGAGAATATTTTCTAGCAGTTTGTCTTGTAGCCTGTGCTG